GCTCGGCAATCGGGCGGTCCGTGAAATTCCACATCCGATCCATCTCATCCGTGGTAATCACCTGAAAGGTATTGCTGGAGGCGACGACGCTGCGAGGGTGATCCCCGTGTGGAAGTAAGGCGCTGGCGGAAGAGGGGGCCGCCATGGATGGATTCCCCCGCCCATGACGACCCCCGCCGGCCGAATGCGCGCCGCCTCGCGGGTTGGTTGCGGCCGCCGAGATGGTAGAAAGTCGTTGTTGCGAGGATACATTCGTCCCGAGAGTGGGCGGCGCGAAAATATAGTTTTGAATGACGCAAGGAGGCAAAAAGGCGAGTTTGCCAGCCTCGGACATGCTTTGCATATCCTTAACCGAACTCGGCAGCGTCCCCCCGGTCCCGTGGCAAATCAGCGAAATCAGAGCCGACTCCCCAAAGGCGTTCTCGATGTCGATTTTTAAACCGCGGCGCCGGGTGAGGTAATCGAGAACCGGTCGCTGGGCGACGGCGTAATGGATTAGGGTATATCGACCATCCTCGGATAGCTGCGAAAGAGACGCGCCGTCGGACCCCCCGACATTCAGCAGGGCCTCCACCCGGGCGACGTCCCCGATCGCGCAGGCCCAGGCCAATTCGCTTTGGAGGCCGTTCACTAAAACCGTCCGCGTCGGGGGGGCGGCGGCGGCGTGGGGGGGGTCCGCGCTGTAGAAGGCGAGCAGCCGCATGGCGATGATATCGCTCAGGTACGACGCGAGCTCCGCCGCCGTCCGAGGGATGAACGTCTCGTCGTCCGCCGCCGTCATCCTCGGCGTGGACGGCGAGACGTCGTGCGGGGGGTTTGCCGCTCGGGTTTTTTTGCCCGGCTTGGTTGTCTCCGGTAGCCCGGCGAACGGGTTATCGGCGGTCGTCGTCCGCGAGAAGTCAAGCAGCGCGGCCGAGCGGAAGATCTCGCAGTCGACCTCCTCCGGGTCGGTCGCGATCTCGCCGCGGCGAAACCGAGAAGCTAAAGTAGGAAAACTGGGGTGCGGCAGCAGCATCAAATACGAATTCCACGCCACCCCATCATTCTCGCCGTCCGAACGCGGCGTCGTGGCGTGTAGGACCGTGGAAGACGCGCTCGGATCTTTCAACGCGGGCTGCCGATAAGTCCGACCACTACTGCTGCCTGGGCGAGAGGCGGGTGTGGTTTGCGGGCTAATCGATTTGCTCGGTATGGGGGGCTTGACATAGTCGTCTTCGATATCCAGGTTGGGCCGTGTCTCGAGCTCCTGCTGAAGCGCCGTGAAGAGGCTGAACGGAAAAACAGGTCCTACCTTCGAAGGCGCGAGGATGTCTGATGAAGAGGTTGATTTAACGTCGTTATCCATCCCCATGAGTGAGGATGACATCGGTACAGAACCCGTAAAATAGAGCAAACGAAACAAGCTCACATGGTCCTTGAGCGATACCAGGTAGTGAAGTATGGTGCCGTACTTTCGGGACTGCAAAGGCAACACCTGAGGCGTATGAGAGCCATCTTTCCCCTCTACCCCGGACAACCGCATGCTTTTGGATCGCTCCACGCCCCCACTCGAAGGGCCGTGTGAACGCGGTGGCTGCGGCGGCGGGTGTTCGGCATCCCCTTTTTTGCCATCCCTATTCCAACAGTTCTCCTTCCCAAATTCCGGGAAGGACGCGGGCGTCAAGAACGGCAACTCCACCCAATCGTTAAGCGTCGCGCCCTTTTCGATCAAGTACTCCACAAGATCGAGCCGTTTTTGAACGTCCTCGACGCCAAAGGGCCGGTTATCCTCGCCGGTATTACGAATCAAAGTCAAAACCACCGCCATCAAAGGGCTCAGAGCACAGTTCCCGCTGAACGCGGTGAGCTCGCGAGCCCGTACGGGGTCGGCGCCGTGTTCGACCGCCCGCTGGGCCTGCTCAAGATTCCCCGCAAGGCAGGCCGCCATCAGCTGCTGATTCCACGTATTATTGGCATCCTCTGCTATTCGTCGCGGTTTCGATGTCATGTCAAGGTCTCCAGTACATATAGATATATAACTATCGATCGATATAGGGATATAAAATGGCGCTGCTACGTA